CTAACAATTGGTATGAAAAAACAGCATTTCATTCAATGATAAATTGTATTTGCTGACAAATATTCATAGAATTTACAAAAGTGATTTAACTGTTATATTCTTGTTTCATCAACTTGCTTGTCAATAATTTACCTATTAAGAAATTGATACGTAAATGCTCTTGCGTATTTAATCATACATATACTCCGTATGCAGGTGATGAAGATATATGGCTGCATAAATATTAAATAAGGAAAGTTGACGATACAAAAGTTAAAGTCATCACGTTTATCATATAACTTGGTTGTTAGATTACCATTAGTGTCTTTTTCAAGTAAAATATCCAAGTATGAAGCAAAAGTGTCGGACTCTGTGGTATCTTTTATCTCAAGCTCGAAATAGATTTTACTATATTTTACTAATTTTCAAATATCGATCTAAACAAAATATTTAATCATGTCAATATAGTATTGTCGATATGAAGAAATTAATATGAAGTTCAATCGACATAGACATATGAATTTTTTCAAGAGAACTCAGAAAAAGGTGTTTTTGAATTAACTTGGCGGGAGCGGGAATGCTAATTAATCTTCACCTCACTTGGGAAGCATATGTACCATGTATTTGCTATTGTTTACGATTATAGGCTGAAACAAAATTAAAAATATTTAAAAAGTGGAGATGGGTAGACATCAAAAGTTAATTGATATGCATTGTCATGGGAAATTATTATACCCACCATTTTGAATAGGGAATTTGATATATTCTATCATAGTTCACTGCTTATATCTCTTGAGTTCAATCGGGATAGTAAATCGCTAATGAAGCGAAAATAGAAAGTACCTAACACTATTATAAAAGTAACACTGTTTATATATGTACTTTGTAAATATTTTATATTGTTCCAATCTGTGGTATACATAGGATCAGACTCATGAATGCGAACCTCCTCAGTCTTGAAACCTCCCACCTACCCCCATCCCCCTGCATAAAAATATAACACCAGATCTAACTTCTAATTGCTTTAAATCATGTAAAATAATTTGTGACTTCAGCCACTCTGTATAAGCTTAGTCACAGAGTTTAAAGGAGGAAAGTGTAGTGTCAGCCAAAATAAATTGATAACAAGAAAAACACCCCAGGGATTTAATAATCTAACTGCGAGAATTTTCTCAAATTTGGGGACATATCAGTGGATCTCTGCTGTACTCAGTTTTTGAGCTTTTTTATAGCTTGATGAGGCGCATCAAGATATTCTTGACTCCCCCTCTTCAAAAGGGGTGATCGGTGCAATAGCCCACTATGGATTAAAACTTTCAATTTGTCTCCATCTCCCTTTTTTAATATACTTTGTAAATTGATTCAGCCTACATGTAAGCTTTCACTGAATCCCGAGTGAAGTAAAGGTTTATTGGAATTCCCGCCCACACCAAAATAATTCAAAAATACTTTATTCAGACTTCTTTATCGCAAATATTCATATAATAAAAGTGATATAACTATATCTTTATTTTTTCATGCCAACAATATAATATCAATATGATTAAATATCTTGTTTTAATCAATATCTGAAAATCAATATATTATTTCAGTCGATAAAACTTAAAGCAATAAAATCAGTTGAACAAAAGAAGTTGCCTTCTTTTATGTTCAGAAATCTTAAAACAATTTAAAATATGTACATAAATAAGGAGGTATAACACTTTATATATTGATAAGTCGATAAAATATAAGACAATATACAAAGTTATAACACAGCAAGTATAGAGTCATTTACGCTTCCGTAAGAAATAGCGTCTTCTTTCATCTTTACTAAAAATAAAGTTGGATAAGTGCAACTTGAATTTAAAAATTCCAATTATTCACATACGTGGGTCTCCATAAACAGCTGAGGAACCAATCTGGCACACATATGCAATCTTCAGTTTATTAGCATGTTACCAGCAGTATTATCACCATTATTCAACTAACAGAGAAACTTATATCGACGGCCTGCAGTGAAAACGTGTTTTAATTTTACAATTGCAGTTTGTCTGTATGTTTTGTACTACCTGGGGACTTGATCAATAAGACTTTGTTTGAAAAATTTTCCATTTCAAATGTATACTAAAGATCTGGTGTTTTTTTTCTCATATTTTTCTTTCTTTTGTATTCATTTGATGTCGAACAGAACATCGATATTTATATAAAGAAAATGCCCCAGCAGGCACGCAACGTTGTTTCAACGTTGATTCAACGTTGATATTTGGTCGTGACGTCATACAACCTTTTTCAACGTTGTATTGACGTTGAATCAACGTTTTAAATCAAGTGTCCGAAGGCGTGCAATGACCTCATATTTGATCAGCAATAAGGTATATAGTTTTATCGTGTCCGTTTGTACAGTGTATGTCTGTCTATCTATCTGGCGGTCTGTTTATCCGCAAAAACTTTAACCTTGACCATAACATTTCATTTATTGGAGCTATGACTTTCATATTTAATATGTGTATTCCTTGTGACAAGACCTTACTCTGGGTACCACAAAATTTGACCTTTTGACCTATACCTTGGGGTTTGTCCCATTTTACACAAAATGCCAAATTTTTACTTTGGCCATAACTTTTAACCAGTAGATACTAGTACTCTCATACTTCACATATGTATTTTTTTTGGCATGACCTTTCATTGCATACTAAAAACTTTGACGTTTTGACCTTGGAAATTTCCGTATTTATGAAAAAAGTCTTTAACCTTGTTCATAACTTTTGAACGGTAAGGAATAGGGTTTTCATACTTCACATATGTAATCCTTGTTACATTAAACCTTTCTTAAGAAACCATCAACTTTGACCCTTTGACCTCTGAGTTAGACCTACCTTTCAAAAACTTATCCTTAGCCATTAATTTTAAACAAGTGGTGCTAGGGCTTTCCTATTTTGCAATTGTATTTCTTGTGAAAAGACCCTACTTTGTGTACCAATATATTTTAATTGCATTTCAGAAAAGATTAATCTTCGCTATGTTGCCATACAGGGGCATAGCTGTTTCACAATTACATATTTTTATGTATAAGAGCAGTTGCGGATAAGAGATAGATACCCCAAAGCGTAACAGACGGACGGACATCCCGATCACTATAAACCCTCCCACTTTTCAAGCGGAGGATATAATAATATATTATACTGCTGATTTTTTCTGTCAGTACGATGATTTCTACCATCGAAAAACAATGTTTATCTAACCCTTTAGGCTCGATAAATCTTTTACTCCTTTAGATTCTGAATCATCGCATTGACCTCCAACTGTAGCTTAAATTGTGTAATGTTATGAGATCAACATATCATCAATTAATTCCAAATGAGCTCAAGTGAGCATTTAATTTGGCTAATATGTTTCATTATCTATTTTTTGTTTGGCCCCCTAAAAATTTCAGCTTTAATCCATAGGGAGTCATTTTCCTACGGGGGTCATTTTTCTTCACGTTGGTTCTGCAAATTTTTAGGGTGGTGACACTTTTTCTACGGGCAAAAGGGTCATTTTTCGACGTCAAATAATAATGACCGGGGGTCATTTTTCGCCGTAGAATATTGACCGGGGGTCATTTATAAAAAAAAATTACAAATTGTAAATGGTGATATAAGGGGTACATCTGTTTATTCGAGTCTCACATCTTTAAAATTATGGTAAAATAGATATGTTTTGCAATTTTCATTTAATTCGAACTCAATTTGTTTTTGTTTATTTTGAACTATTAAATTTTTAGGGTGGAAAATTCCTCAAAGTAAAATTTTAATTTTAATTCCTGACTTATTTCCTTACATTATGTGTATTTTACAATGGGAGGGGGTGGGATGATTTGTTGCATTTTTGAGGAGACAGCCTAAATATTGTTTTATTTGAAATAAGATGCTTCAGGGTTTTAAATTTACTGTCAAAAACTGTAGCATTGTATGAATATTAATAAAATAAGAAATGCCAGTAAGCGATTTTAGTTTTTTTGATAAAAATATATAAAAATAACTGAAAATTAAAGTATGCTGTGATATAGAAAACACATTCCGGTAAAAATGAAAGCAGAGTATCATTATATTTTAAGTAAATATTTACAAATAATATATTTTCAAAATTTATAAATAAATAAAAGTTTATTTCAAATATTATTCATTCACATATGGTATGCTCACTGATATAAACATTGATTATACTGTGCATCTATTCATATTTTATGATTCAAATTTTAAATTATCCCACGAAAACGCAGTCAGTAAATATGTGTAAAAAGTATTGAAAAGTTCAGTAATTACGTGTATTTCCTAAATGAAATTAGTAAATACGTGTATTCCCTAAGCAGAATAGGAATTTCATGTATTTCCTTAACATTAGGAAATACGTGAAATTCCTGGTTACACATATTTACTGTAACAAATACACAACAAGATTGCCACTTTTCCTAAGGATTAAGAATAAGGTTAAAATTTGTGAAAGTGTAAGCATGTGTCAATTAAACCCGCCAAAAAAATTAAAGTTTTAATAACTTTTAAATGAAATTAGATTTTTGTGAAAGTTCCTTTAACATACAATAAAGCGTGCGTGCTCTACTAGAATACATGTAGAACTGGTATTTTATAAATACAGCAACCTATCAGATCGACAGTGAACACAACAAACACCGATTAAACATGTTCAATTGATGAACTTGATATGAAAATTTAAACAAATAAATACCTTAAATTACCAATTTCTTAAATATATCTGCCCAAACTACAACGAGGAGTAATTACAAATCTTTTCCACAGATATAACCCTACCACTAAGAATGCACTTTCAATATCAGTAAAAGATAATAAACATATCATTATACATGTTTATGTATTTGAGCGCATATTAACATTGTTGAACCTAATCATTGCATTAGAATGGTGTCCCATTAGCTACTAGTATTGACTCCTGATTCTAAATTTTCGATATCGTATTTTTATATTTGAAACTTTGTTTCTTTGAACTCTATCATAAACTACACCTAAACTTCATCTTCACCATCACTTCAGGATATTTTGTATTCTCGTTAGTGTAGCATATTTTATTTTGTTCAATGGTACTTGTGATAGTGACTGTTGATACGCGTAAAGAGCCGCCTGTGGATTCCCTGTGACCTGGTAACAGATCCCTAGGATCTGCCATGATATGTCTACACCTTTCTTTATGTACACCTCCTGAGGATGGTGGACTAGATTCTGGAGATAACGTAGAGTTGTTTGTACTTTTGATGTATCAACATGAAGGTAGCACAAGATCTCCAGCATATACAAGAGTACCAGTTGAGGGATAATCAAGTACATCTGACTCTCCTGTAAACTGGACAGTTGCTCAGGCAATAATTCATCAATGTAAAAGATATTATTGCTGAGAGTGATACTCCTTCTTCTAAAGAACCTCATTTTTGAAGTCAACGACCGCCCTCTAAAAGCTGCGGTGTACATATCCGTAGTAATGTGTAGATTTGCTTTATATAACTCTAGGACTTTTGTCGTTTTTATAACAAATAATGCATCCACAAATCTCATTGTCTTGTAGTAATACATGGCCATAAACACCATATTAGACATGAGACCGAATTTTGCTGACAATTTCAGCAGGCGATGGGACATTCTGTCAGCAATATACACAATTTTGTTTCGACATGTGTTTTTGTACATGCTGTTTAATATAAAGGCAATTTCCTGGAGGCAGGTGGCTGTGTTGTCCTGTAAGGATACAACATGATATGGCGTCAAGGGCGTATTTATCAACTGTTCTACACCTCGTAGGCATTTCATACAGTGATGCAGGTTTGTTATGCCCTGTACACTTCTGTTAATTATACAGTTAAATAGGGTGAAATCAAATTCAAACTCAGACAACAAGTTGCCTTCATCTGTACAAATGAAGAGTCCTGGGTTATAAATGACTTTTAAAACATAGGGCCAGATGGAGGGACTGTTTAGCAGTGATATCAGTCCCTTCTCATACAACGCATGCAGCCTAATGAACAATTGGTTTTGCTTATCACCATGGATACTACTCAGAAACATATTGTTTTCTGGAATGAAAAAGTTAGGGCAGACCCCTTCATAGACCCAACTAAGGATTAGTTTGAAGCACTCCCAAAAACACAATAGAAGATTTTGTGGACACCAATGCGGGACAGTATTTCGTTGAATCATCCAGAAAACGGCTGTCTTCATGTGGTAGGAACATAAAAGTTTATCCTCTTTTCCTACTCCATTGTTAATGACTTCCTTTAAAATCAATTTTAGCAATCCATAAGTTAAGAACTGAGTGTGGTTCATTGAGTACACGAGTATTTGTTCTGCTCGTGAGAAAGAAATTCTCCATTCATGGTCTTGATAATTGCCCATTTTGTGTCCAGTTGCAACAAAGTGACATCCACTTCTGATTATGTCGCACATTACATGAGGTTGGGGCCATGAATGACATCTCTCTATCCACGAGGCAGCAGGTGGAGGCCAAAAGTCGGAGGCAAAACAGTGGGCATCATCATATTCTAATCCAGCATAAATTCCACTGCCGCGTGGTCCATGTGGAGTAAAGCCAGGTGTTAGTGATGGGAGCATGGTTTCTCTGTATAGAGAACTAGATATAAAAATGTTTCCATTCCTTTTGACAAGTGATGAAACTATATCCCTACTCGCTAAAATAACTGATGAAGTTCTGGTACGTGCTGGAATCAAAAACTGAAGTAAAGAGAATCCTGGAGGACTATCGGAACAGTCACAGAGAATTAAAGTGTATCTGTGCCTGCTGTAATACTGAGTCTGAGATAAGTTCCAGATGACTCTTTCAAAATTTCGCCAGTACATAGTGTCTATATCTGATCCTTTCATTCTGAATCCTTCTCTGTGGCTTCCACTTACCATTACAGAGTTTAAGTCACTAGTGACTCTATTTGTCAATAACTCCGTGATGTCCGATGTATCTCTCCTCATGGACACCTGTTGAGAGGTCCCCAATTTACGACACAGTCCCACAAATACTGACTCTGATATATGTTGTATGGCTGATTCACTAACAATGTACAAAAAAGGAAATATTAACATTTTTTTTAATTCTTGAAGAAAAGCTTTTTATTATCCTTAGAAAATGACGTTGAAATATATACTTGTTTGATTAAAGTTTTAATAAGCCTAATACTTCTATGTTTAATACCAGTACGACTCCTTTTAAACACTTACATTAGAGACTTTACATTTGAATCCATTCCTCAGACAAGACTAATATAAAGTTTTTGTACTTTGTTTTCGTACAGGGAAATCCTGCAGAACTTTCTCATGCCTTCTGTGTTACTATTTAAAATTCATAACTCAATGACAAGGAAATTTAAGTTTTTCCCATCTCTAATCAAAATTCAAGGAATAGAATGTACTTCAGCACGTACACTGTATGTCACATATAGAAATGTTCATATCACCCCCTGTATATTACGCTAAAAAAATCAGTCAAATGATTATTAGATTTCTAAATCTATGTACTTTATCTTGGGCATTGTGAATTTTCAGTTTTATGGGATCAACGAGCTGAGCCTCTTTTCAAGAAGACAAAATTTTAAGTCATGTCTTTTCATGCCTTTGTGTTCTGATGTTTTCTTAGCCCTCGATTCTGCCTGAAGACAGGATATACGCATTGCTGTGAAAAAGATTCTGATTTCACAACTCGATAACAATATTTTATAAATTCTAAAGTGAAGGATCTTCACTTACATCTTCTATTACATTCTCCTCCTATTGATTGTTATATGATTTCCCAAAGTAAGTTACTTTCTGAAATAAACACCAAATTCAACATTGTTTTTTTTTTTTACCTGTGCATAGGGTAGAACCATTCCCATTGATTTCCGGGTGGCCGTATCCAGTGCTTGTTAATATTTTCCTCTATTTGCATCATTAAAATAGATGGAATCCCACAAGTCAGAATCCATAAAGTGTGGGTGGACTTAACGAGCCAAAAAAAAAAAATGCTGCAAATTTAAGTTCCATAAAATGTTAATTTTCCCCATAATATAAACCCCGCTATCTTAACTGTGTATTTATGGTACGGATGTGAATTTAAAATGCTCTTTTCGAGGTAAACTAAATAAATATCGAAGGCATGGTACATGAAGAATTGTTGAATATCAATAGATAATCAGGGTCACGCATTTTTCATCGTCTGAATACATAGTCAGCGCATGTTTGTCGGCTGTTCTTACGAAAACTGTAGTTGTATATTGAACAAAATAATATATTAAAAGGAGAAGAGCCGACAAATGTGCGCTCAAACTTAATTTAACAAAAAAACATGTTCCAAACAAACTTCTCGCTTCCATTGTTACGACTTCAATTGACCTGTTAGATATTACAATTCATCACGTGATGTTCCACCTGCGAGTGTACTCGTGGAAACAGTTACATTGTATTCTTCAACCTGACCTAGATGTAAATCACTGTTTGGTGCCGTTTTCAGAATTTAGCACATTGATTGTTGTTTTAATTTGCGTGTCCTCACATTTAAAAAAAAATCATAATGACATCGCTGTTCGAATTTCTAGAGAGAGAGAGAGAGATGGAGAGAGAGAGAAATGTTAACAATGATACCGATCCATATAGCCCTGCCTCCTATCAATATTGATAGCGCGACCTAAAAACCACTCCGGGTACATGTCAAATTCCGGAAGACGACACTAATATATCCTTGTTTCAATTTTGATTCATGCCAATAAGGCATTGCTTTTGTACATATGTTCTAGCTAAAATAACCATGTATACGTCGCTCTTTCTAGTGGTTGTAATAAATTTTGGATTCACTTTATTTTCAACTTGTTAGAGTAGTCTCTAACAGATCCAAAATAGGGCGTTAAGTCCACCCATCCTTTCATTTCAATATTTTGCAAGGTGTCTCTTTCATTTCCATTAATTGATAGAAGACTTGCTTTGTCACTTACAACTGAATTCCATTTTAAACAGTTGAAAATACATCATTTTCTCATTATTTATTCCCTTGGTGTGTTCTTTTGCGATGTTGTTATAAATTTCTTTAGACTTCAATACAGGAGAGTCAAAAAATTTTTGTCTTCAGTGCAAAAGAGTCAGCAGAGGGAAATAACTCTGGGTCAATTTTCAGGAAAAAGCAATGATTTCAGGCGATTGGAAAAACAGTATTTAACTGATCTACCCACCTCAAATCTTTTTGTGTCTTTTATATCTAAGTTCAATCTTACTGAAAAGATTATTTATTTAAGTTTAAAATGCCTGCAAAAATATATATGCATTTGAAGAAATAGGTACCTTTGTATTCATTTTATGACAAACTTCGTGGAAATTGATCTGTATTATATTAAAAACCATACTATTTAAATAGAATAAAATTTACATGCCAAGAAACTTTAATTGCTTTGCTATAAAATGAGACCATGTTATGTTCTTAACATTGCTACATTTAGGAAGCATGGAATTATTTTGCATGGGAATGACAATCAGGTCATTATCGCCATGGCAAAATATTTCAAAGCCGTTGCTTTGTAAACAAAGGAGGCACTGTCCAAAATTTACCCAACTTTAGTCTTAATAAAGGACACTCTTAAAATTATATTGATAAAATAATTCTATGATAGTCCGTGGCCAAGCATTTTTGGTCTTTACAGAGAATTGATGTTTATGTTTTAAGATCCACTGAATTTTATATAACTTCTCAGTACTCCCAGTGCTTTGATTTGAAGATCTTTGTTGTTTGTAACTTTTCTTTTAATTAAACTAAGGCATTAAGCACTTTCCTGGGCTGTGGATGCTTTGTGACAAAGAATTCAGGTGTTGGAGAAATATTTTAATAAGGAATATGGATACCAAGGGAAAATAAATATTAAAGTCAGGATAACATGCATAATTTTTCATATTTACATGATGCAAACTTCTTTTCCTTAAGATGTATAAAAAAGAAAAAAAAACTTCTAACTTCTTGTCTGATTTTCTTAAATTTATTATATAATGTATATATAGCTGATCAATTGAAAGCATTTGGTGCAATCCGATTTGTCTCTCCAAGAGTTTTATCTGTGCAATATACAAAGTTTTTTACATCTAACTAAGAAATGAAACATAATGCTTTGACCATCAAATTCACGCTAGAGAAAAGAAATATGTATTTAAATATATATACTTCCACTGTTATTGGTAACTACAGGCATAAACTTCAAATAAATATCACTGCATCAGTATCAAATACTTAAGGGATCACTGTCTAGATTTGAGAGTATGCCAGGACATCAACAGTAGTGGGAACATGGGATAATTTGCATAACAGTCGAAACCCATTAAGCTAAAATTATCCCATGTTTCCCACTATTGTTGATGCCCCTGGCATACTCTCAAAACTAGACAGTGATTCCTTATATTTTTATTTTTATTTGTTTTTGTAATCGTCCAATTTAGTAGATTGGAAATACACAAGACATTTCGTGTTATTTTCCATTGGCCGACGTTTGATGTCAAATTTTACTATAAAAAAATAGTCCCATACAAACACGAAACAAACTTAATGATTAATAAATTATACTGCAGTCAATTATCAACATTTATAAAATAAACAAAAAAATATATATTACGATCAAAGCAATATTGCTAACTTGAATTGCATATGTGACCTACATTTAGGGTGTTGGAAGCAGGAACATGTGTATAGGCACTAAGTCTTTTCTCCGCCGCACTATTGAATGCAATGTTGTAGTTGATGAAACAGGAGTTGGTCAACATGGTCAGGAAACAGAATTGTGAGTGTTAAAATAACAGAGGACGTTGAATTGCGTAAGAAGTTGGATGATAATGACTTAGGGACGATGTCTGTATCGGATGATCTATGTGGCAATGCTGATTTCTCCACGTGGTTCAGATGGGCTGTTTACATGTTTACGGAAGTGAAGTTCTCGGTCTCGCGAGGCCTTGGAGATAATGGACAGCGTTGCACAAGTGACTTGCTTTTGATTAGAAGATAGTTCATTATTTATTTTGTTTGTGATTTATCATATCTAATAACTTACTAAACAATTAAACGAAACATCGTTTTTTTTTCAATATAATTATTTATACGCCAATCATATACATGAAAGTTTGACATTTGACGTTTCAGTAGTACTTCAATCTACAGAGAAATTTACATGCCACAGGAATAACGGCGAAATAAACAAGATTCACTTTTGTAGTGTTTAACATAGGAAAAACAATTGGAAATGGAAATATATAAGTTTTAATGCTTTCTAAATGTAATAACGGTAATCAGTTACTGTAGGTTGGGTTTGGTCCTATCTTCTAGTAACAATTGTGATTTGAAGAAACAAATATAAACACAACCTAGAAATGCCTGATTGTGTAATTCATGTCTCTAAATCAGTCCTGTCTCAGAAAAGAACAAACATGGAGAAAAATTCTGTTTATACCTCTGTAGAAAGGGTGTATCGTAAGTAAATCAGCCAGCATTTTAATTTAATACTTTTGCAGTTCAACAAGTTAAACATAACTTCATCATTATCTGTATGTGGTAAGGAAGTATTCAGAGACATAAACTAAAATATTTGTGAAATGTATATAAATAGAGCTACAACTGACTTAGATTTTCCTTGTTTAATTTTGCATCTGGTCAAGGAAATTACACATATAAACATATCAAGATTAATGTGAAGCAAGCAAATCAGATAGAATTTTTGTAACATCTGTCTTTCTTTAAAAATTGCTCTTTTGAACATTCATTCAGGATGATTTAAATTAATTTTTCATTGTAATTACTTTACTGTAGAGAGTTGAAACAATGTTCTCCTTTAACATATTTAAGCCTTGGGCTTTTTCTCATTACAGCAAATTCTTTCATCCGCCTTGTTCATTGAAAATTGAGGAAGTCTAGTTTTAATTTACTGGGACAGTCTTAGTGGAAATCTCTGCCTTTCTTCTCTTAAGATTTGAGTACTCAGATTAAATCGGGAGAAGTTTATGTTTAATGGTTTGCAATGGTAATGGTGGTTTCCAATGAGGACTTACTTAAATATATTATATTTAGGGTGTACAATTTTTTTTTTGCG